CCGATGAACGCGCATGGAGTGGCAGCATTCGGCTGCAACATATTCTATGCGCTCGGCCACGAGATGTCCGGATCCGACATCGACGAACACAACTTGACCCGGGTGATCTTCAACACCACCCGCAGCGCCAAGAACTTGGCAGGCATCGTCGTGGGCGGCCGTGCATGGGGATCCCTTCGCAAACACCTCGGTGGATCCTACGAAACAGCTCGTGCAGCCACTGAAGAAGATGAGGTGCTCAAGGATGCGAATGCAAAAGCTTATTGCGTATCTCGCAACAGATATTGCTTTACATGCATTGCTTTTGAGCAGCTGATGACGCCGCCTTCTACAGCAAACACCCTCATCTCCCAGTACCAGAAAGCTGCAGGCATAGCTCCACAAGGAAGAGCCCGACTTGCACTCATCTAGCAGCGCACCCACTGCAGCACCACAAAAGCTCTTCCCGAACATCACCTTTGGCAACGTGCTGCAAATCTTCCACTGGCTTACAGCCGGCAACAACTAACTGCGACGCCGCAAAACGCATTCTTCGCAGCAAAAGATGCATATGTCTTCTGTGCCACTGTTAGCTTGCAAGCTTTCCTTTTACTTTGTTGGATTGCCTAAACTTTTTTCGATAGCCTTTTGTGTCCAGACGGGCTCAGTCGTCAGAAAATTTCACAAGCAATGGCAAACACATGGACTGGATATTGGCCCCAGGGAGCATCGGATACGACGTGGTGGCCATCAAACAGTGGGAGCGCATCAAGCCAATTCGACGCAATATGGTGGTCTCAAGCATCATTGCCGACTCCAGCATCCACGCCGACGCCAGCATCCACGCCGACGCCAGCATCCTTGTCGACGCCAGCATCCTTACCGACGTGGCCACCTATCCCACCCGCCGCCAGTCCATCTACTCAACCTTTGCCGCCACCGCCGCCGCCATGCAACACACCGCCGGAACCAACGAATGCAGCAGGCACACCGGCGACATCGGCAACCACGGCACGGGTGCCACTTCCTAGTCAGTTTTCAGAGGACCCGGACCATTATGATACGAACCTCGTATTCAAAGCAACTTTGAAGAGGACCATAGAGCCCACGGCTTGGAGCCGTGCCAAAGGACTTGCAGGCATGGACGTCCGCGACGTCACCGTTGCACATCTTTGCAGACATGGCATGGAGGAATTTGGACTTCGAGGACTTTCCCACGGCAAGTTCACCGGCATGATTTTGACCCGCAACATCGCCGAGAGCGTCTTCCTCTCCCAGCTTCAAAAGAAGCTCCGCGAGAACAACATTGACGTCGATGCCACCGTCGACGCCCTCTACAAGAGCAAAGGACAAAAAGCCCCTGACAAGGTGAAAGAGGCCATTACCTTTGTCACACCACTCGTCGACACCATCCTGGACGCCATCAAGCCTTGGGCACAGGTACGCAACTATGCCAACAAGAACACCGACGGCGACAACCAAGCAGCTCAGCGCATGCAGGCCCTGGAGGAGCAGACCGCAAAGTACAAGCAACGCCTACGCAGCGCTGGCATCGAGGTCACCCCCCAGAAGTCCCTCCCGTTGCAGAATGAGCCAACGGATGGTCCAGAAACAACAGCGGCACCACCGAAGCGCAGACGCCTTACAAAGGGAGCTATCAAGCAGCGCAACGAAGATATCCTTGCCGAGCCCCACAACGTAATCCGTGCCAGTGGACAAGAGCCACCGGCAAGTATGACCTCGATTGCAACGTAGGTCACCAATCTCAAGAAGAGCCTCCCCCGAGAAAAGCACGCAGAAGTGGACAGTCACATACAGTCCGTGCAGACCATCCTCGAAGGCGCTAAGTACACCAAGGCAGAGCTACAGGAGATGGCCACACGATGGGGACTCCCTATGTCCCTCACTACAGCGCCAAAGGCTTCGCCCAAGAACCTCCAGCAGCTGATTGCGGCCGTCACCTACCTCGCCGTGTGACACGTGCAGAAAATCCTGAGAGGACCCCTAGCACATCAAGAAAGTGCCAATATCTTCCAGCAGCTACAGCAGATAGTGGATTGGGGGCAGTTTTTGCTTTTTCATGTTCCTGCTATTAATAAAGAAGTTCTGATGTGGTTAGTTGGACTTATTCATCTAGTATTCACCTTCCATAGAATGCGGCAATCGCCTGCAGCAGAGCAACTAAAAGAGCGACTTCGAGAAAAAGGCGCGGTTCCAGAGCTCTACACGTTCGAGAAATTCTCCCAGCCCTGTGCAGTGTACGTCAAGCTTCTATTTCCAAGGCTCAACAAGCAAACCTATGCGACTGCTACCCGAGATGCATCCTTTTGTTACATCGGATCTACCAACATCACTGTGGCCAAGAGAGAATACAACAGAGTCGCAAAACTTCGCCAACTACAACAACTCAAACTACCTAAAACTGAGATTGCCATTCGATATTGGAACGACTCCCAGACCTACCTGCACTACAGCACCATTCTTCTTTCGCAACACTCGGAGTACATTGAGGCCTGGGCCGAAGAACACAGCCTGATTCAGAGATGGCAGCCCAAGCTGAACTACCCGTTTGTCACGAAGGAGCTGGTCAAGAAGGCGCATGGTTTGGTCCCCAAACACCAACAACCACATCTTCGCCGCCCACCAGATTCTCTGGGACGACAGCTTTTCAAAAAACTCCGACGAAGAGTACAAGGACAGAGACCTTCGCTTGTCAACGCTCTACCCAAGCAGGCCCAATTCTGGAAACTCTTGTATTCCATATCCAGCGACACCAAGCAAGAATTTGAGGCCTCCAAAGAGCTGCGCAGCGGCAAGCACGACGCGGAAACAGTCACCCTGCTCTACAGACTCGCCAACCACATGGAGCAGCCGTGGAGATCAAAAGCCCGAGCCAGACTACGCAAAGTCCTGCAGTTTAAGAACGCCTCGATCCCAAAGCACAACAAGTCCCTAAAAGTTCCTCTTCTTGCACATGCGTCGCATCGCACCAACCTCGAAAAGTACCTGGTGCGACTCAGCAGGACTCACCGACATGTGCTTATACCATACCATCTACCCACCAAGACGGTCCAGGAGGCAACGCATCCCTCTCTACAGCAAGTTCTTTGGAACCACAAGCGGAAAGTCACCGATATGGGCAGACACTGGAAACCTACAGAATGTCAGTGCGCCAAATTCATCAAGCAACATCCACGAGCACAAGTACATGAAGGACATGTAGTCACTGGCTTGGAAACCCTACAGCTACCCAACACACACCAGACCTTCCGCAACGTTGGGGCCGGGAACGCCTTCTACTCCTCCAAGCAGCGCATCAAGAGACAACATCAAGAACAATTCCAACGATGGCTCAAGCACCACCAATTTCCTCGAGATCAACGCATACTTGACGACTTTGACGCTTTCTTCGAGCAAGAATGGAAGCAGCATAGACTACAGCTTCAGCGAGAGCCAAGACTCACGCACAGACTGGCGAAAAACATATTGGCCATGATCCCTGACGACTACATCGTGCACAACGAGGACCATGCCAACGCGCACCTCATGATCTACTGCCCGAACATCTACAACCAAGCAGCTTACAATACTTGGATGGACAAACAAACATTCCGAATGTTAGATGCCGACCCTGAGGAGATCAAGCAGAACATGCAGAAGAACACCCCCAAGGTGGTCGCCAAGCACTATGCCAAGCTCCTTGCCTACGAAAAGCCCCTACCGTATGGGTATATACTCATGAAACGAAAAAGCGATGGGCCAAAGGGAGGACTATTATCGCGTATAGCAATACGTGCATCGGCAAGTTGCTGAAGATCGCGGCTTTAGCGCTACAACAGATGTTGAGGATAACCTGGCCCAACCATTTCGGCGACGTCAGCTCGCCACAACTTTGGGAGGAAATACACCAACTCTTCCACAACAACGAGCACCTGTACCCGGAGCGACACTTGAAATTTCTCAACCACGATTTGGTCGGCTTCTTTAATTCGATACCACAATCCGATATCCTACAAAGCATCCACTTCCTCACCTCCCAGTTCCTTGACGAGCACAAGTGCACCATCACCGTCGATCCTCACAGCAAGATCGCACCCGCACACTCCGGCAGATCAACGCACAGCCTGAAGTCCAATATGGTCAAGGTGCAGGCAGAACACATACCCGCCATCATTCAGTTCAGCTTCGATGCTTGCGCTTTCACAGCCATTGGGGAGGTCTTTCAGCAGACTTGTGGCACCTCCATGGGAAACCAAAGCAGTCCCATCCTTTCGACGTGCGCAATAGTAGCCACGGAAATCACATGGCTAAGAATGTATGGCCAGTTTGTCAGCAACGCCCACCTCCACGACAAGTTCTGGATTCGCAGGTACGTCGACAACAGAGCCATCATAGTAGATGAAGATGAGCTCCAGCACAACCCCTACATCCAGCAGCTTGCATCCCTACACTTCTACAAGAAGCCAGTACAACTAGAAGATGAAGCGTGTGATGATTTCCTGGGATTCCGCATTCACGCGGACAATCGCCAAATTACCTACAATCTCCACCGAGAAGCCTGGAGATATCGACTCCCCCAGTCAGCCGGCTCCACAAAGCTACGCCTCAGCGGGTACCACAGCAGAAAGCATCTCATCCGCACCATTGCCTACCCTGAAGATGTAGCCAAGAGACAGCTACAGGAGCTGGACGACCTCTACGGTGACTTGGGATTTGCGCGCCTTCTCGAAAACTCAGCAGAGTCCCGACGCATGCAAGGTAATGGCAAGTGTGATGACTTAGCCACTTTTCTTTACTTTTCTTCAGTTTTTTGGTTCAAGAAGGGCACTGGTAGGATACCTAGTTAATATGACTAAAAAGCAACGCATCAATGGCGCTGCAAATGCCACAGAGCTCACCGACATCGACACCGACTCCGAGACCGCGGAATACGCAGTCAGACTACCACATGGACTACCGCTGGAAATGAGTGCCCCCGCAGTCTTCGCAGCAAAAAATGATCCAGTAGAGCAAGAATGTGAACTGCTCCTCCGACAAAGATATATTCCATTTGAGCTCTTCCCATGGCTCTCCACACAGCTCAACTCCGAATTCCTTCGAGCTTCGGCACTCACCAAAGCAGGCAGAAGAGCAACGGCATACACAGTCGGCACCTACTACCACGCGGGCAGCATTGGAGTGCGCACCAACACGAGACAAAGACCTTGGACGGCAGCGACACTAGCATACCTGGTACGAGCATGCACCCATACTCCATTCTCGACTGTATCCCTACTTCGCAATGTACATATGCGCACCCATCGAGACAAGTACAACAAACCAGGAAGCCTCAACATCGTGATTCCGGTCTCCACCTTCAGACAAGGACACCTATGGATTGAAGAAGACGATGGACCGGATCTATCTCCAAATGGACAACATCGTGGCCGGAACCTTGAGATCAAACTGCCCGGAATCGAGTTCAGCCCATTCAAGCTCCACGGCACATGCCCATGGAAATCCGACCGCCTGATCATCTCGGCCTACACCACCAATCGCATCGAGGACATTTGCAGAGAAGACAAAAGATACCTTCGCATGCTCGGCTTTAACCTCGCATAATTAGAATCAGCACAACGCTGTGGACAAAATTCAGTGCCAGAAGCAGGACGAGACTGCGGAAAACAGAGCAGTATCTACAACACTTTGCGATTTCAGGTTTTGTACCTTAGGCATTTCGGGTGGCCATGTCTCAAGCTTGTAAGTTTCCTCGTACCGCGCGGACTAAGGAAGCAGACATACAACCAGAGCGGGCGAGCCGGAAAAGATCGAGCATTGCGACTTCACCTCGGCAGCTTTTTGATTTGACTTGTCTGTTGCACGCACCTAGTAAGCCACTCGTCTCAAGCATAGTGCTCCTGTTTTTTCCTGACCCAGCACCCGTAACCTCACAGCAATGCGCCGGGGAAGACGCACATGGGATGGGGAGCGCCAAGAGGAAGGACCACGTCAAGCAGGACCCTCGCAGCTCGACACCCTGTACAACATCGTCAATCAGCTCAGCATGGTGCAGCTACTAGAACTCGCGGAGTACATCATCAGGAAAATCGCGCAAGAGTCACGCTACATGTTCGGGGGCGTCAATTGCACATGCAACTGTCAACAATGTGAGGTTGAGCATCGCAGCAACCCCGAGCTTGCAATCATGTACTGCTCCCATACATCGCTATCGCAAAGCTCTGAAGAACATCACCAGCGACAGGGACGGCATCTATGCTGGATTCATGACACCGACTAAGACGTGTGGCAGATCAGCGACCATCAAAAAGAAGATCGAGCAGCAATCAAGGTTTCAGTTGCTTATTGCTTATTAGTTTGCATATGAACGCTCTTTTGCTGCTGTTTTGGTTCCTTTTAAATGAATATCATAGTAGTAAAGCCAGCCATGCCGAAACGAAAAGCGGGAGAAGCTGGACTTCCATGGTACTCCACGCGGAGTCAGTGCTTTCGGATGACAGTGGAAATCCCGCCTGACCGAATCTCCAGGGACAGACATATGTTTCTACACGTGGTCCTATGTCTTGGAGATAACGTACTGCAAGCGCGGAAAATCTTCTCATACCGCATCAAAGAGATCACCGGCAGAGTACCAGAGATTGCAGCATTCTTTTTCGAGCAAAGTCGCCGACGATTACACGACTGGGATCCGGTCACATCCATGGCAACATTGAAGCCAGTGCTCTTCGTACGTACAATTTCAGACCAAGAAGTACGGCAGCAGCGATGAAGAAAAAGAAGAGTCCGCAGCCCCTCCAATGGAGGTCAGTGTGTGTGGGGAACCCAAACTACCACGGGACAGTGACATTGAGAATAGCGATGTTGAGGCTAAGAGAAGTGATCGTGCAGGGGGTGCCAGGGGATTGCAGAAGGCTGGCACCAACGAAGACCTTTCTGCTTTCCTGTGAAATCGACTTGGGACGCCAAGTTGACGTACCTGCAGCTTGCGACGTCCTCAATCCTACAAGCGGTGCAATGTTTCATCCTTCCTATATTCGCTGTGCAATGCTTCCAGCTTATTCGTCGGCAGTGAAGAGTGAGATCCAGGCATCAGGTAACAGGTGCTCCTTGGCTTCTTTCGGTATTAAATCGCAGCAAGGCAACCAGAGACTCTTGAAGCCCC